TAAACAGACTATGCTTTTTGTTTATTTCCCATGATGTAACTGCTTACCTGTACAGACTCCATATGTTATTTGTTAATCTTATTTCTTATCTAGCATTTGATATAATGATCGGACGGTATTCCGGTATCGCGCCAAACTGTGTAATGCACGGCAGTGTCACGTTTTGCCTCACCTTGGCGTGAAATAAAGCTTGCTGAGGTCGTAGTTTGGTTAGGTTAAGCCACCAAAACTAGGTGTCAGAAAAGATCGTAGGGTTTGTTACGCAAGTCAACTTACGTACGTTAAAATAAGTCAACATTGACTTCTGGTTTCTCCTCTGTGAAAGTCCTCTGTTTGTTTGAACTACTTGGTCAGGATTAGGACAGTAAGTTTTGTTAACTTAACTTAAGTACATAACTTAAAATAACAGTGACTTGTGGTTTCACACTGGATATGAACAGCGGCCTCCTGGGTGAGAATCCTGGGTTGGTTTGACCCCTCCCAATGTGGACTTTGTTGCTCATCATACTACATGGGTGTACTTTTCACATCAGGTCAAAGCAAAATGTGACACTGACAGGTGTGAGACTGGGCTGAATCATCAGATCGGATACACTGCGCAAATTCAGCAAAACTAGCCCATATATGGTGCATGATCACAGAGAGCACCAAACAGTGATACATGGAATAAAAGGTCAGAAAGCAGTCTAACAGACCTAACACTATAATACTGTATGGTAGCCTATAGAAGTATTATATTGTCATTACAGTGACAGTGTAGGAGAGGCTCACAAACGGCAAAGCATGGATACACTTTGCCTTTATGATATGTGCATTTTTTTTCTACAACATTGCTTTATATTCTCTTAACACCATACAGTCTGACAAGTTGACTGTAAACTGGTTTCGTTGCACAGATGGACATTATAGGAATATTATAGGAAATCCCATACTGCTGCCCGAGCAGATAAAAGCTCCTAAATCTCAGCTGCATGCTGCAGACACACACAGTGTCCCTGTAGTGATATCATAAGGATATTACAGGAGTGTTACACTGATTTCCATTAAGGGCAGTGGGCGGCGCGCACACACAGCCCGTCTCTTATTGCGATATACGTGAGTGCGCGTCCGTTGTCAGCCAACCAGCCAGCGAGCCAACAGTCCTCAATCCAAACCCAGCCGAACCACGCCGAGCCGAGCATTTAGTCCCGCCGCCCCACACAGAGGCAGCCGCGGAGGGAAGATGACCTGGTAGCGCATCTTTACGCACCCGAGCCGCCGTCCGCCCCTCATAAAGCCACTCTCTGCCTCTCTACGGTTCATTTGCTCGCCGAGACCATGGAGACGGCAGTTCCCAGGAGCGATGTTTTCATCTCCCAGCTGCTCCTTTTCAGCCAGATAGGTAAGAACTGGAAAGGAGGGGAAAAACAACCCTGATTTAATTGACTGTGGTGTCTGACATGTGATGCTGTGGACGTTCGGAGCTGTCAAAGATTGAGCGGTGCGTCTGTTCGATTCCCTCGGTTATTTAACATCCTGCACACTTCAGCGTGTGTTTCAAAATGTGCAATCGGCGGCAGAGAAAGATGAATCTTTCATCTAGATTGCATTTGTTTGAAGCTGCATTTCCGACGAGGACATTTGTCCCCGCAGTTTAATAGTCCCTTCCCCTCAAATTTAGTTTCAAGTGATTTCTCTGCAGCACATTCAGGGGGTTTTCTTGGCATGATTTGAACAGGTTGAGCCGTTTTTCCAAACATGTTGAAGTATGAATGAAATTGTGCAGTGTGACGACGCCGTGTGCTTTCTGTCTGCAGTGGATCCTGGATTTGAAGAAGGTGCTCAAAGTGCTCCCACTGATGAAGTTCTCTGATAGAGGCGTTCAGTCCAAATGTTGCTTTCAGGGACACGCTGCGCGTTTCTTGTAGAAACTTGTATTTAAAATGCATATAATATTTGAATATGTTTTAGAGGGACATTCCACAAGTAACTGAGTCGTGAATTGTATTCCTTATTATTTATATACTATATAAAATCGGATTTAGGGTATATATTTCCAATTTGAATGCTCTCCTTGTAAGGGAAGTCCATTGTGTCTAAAACTTTTTAAGAATCACTTGATTGATTTCTACAGTCCATGTTGGTTCCTGTTCACCATGATCATGCTATGGCTGCAAGTTTAGAGAGTGAATCCATAAACTGCAATGGTTTGTTAAAAGCATAATCATTTGAGTTCTGAGACTGAGCTGCTGTCAAAGCCCAGATCCTGTTTGCTGTAGAAATCTGAGAGTAGGACTTGGTACCCATTTCAGTAACAGGTGTGGAAGTAAGATTGAAAAATAGCCTACTGTCTGTGTGCTAATTTCCAAAGAGTAAAAAAGAAGACAACACAGTAACAAGATGAATCATCACTTCATGTTTTTTGTGAAGTGGCAACGGAGCAGTTATTTACAGTTTTTGAGCGTTCAGAATTTAGCTCCCAATCAGGTCAGTGAAATGTTTTAACACAACATTTAGTTAAGAGTCAGAGCAGCGGCATTTGAGACAAGTTTGAGGTAAAAAGTGGTGCTTTAATTTTAGCACTTCTCAAAGAGCAGTTTGTTTTCTGTGGGGACAGAGCACCAGTGTATTAATTACAGTGTTGAGCTTGTTACTCAAACAATGTCATTTATTACTCCTTACTTGTTACTCTTTTCAAAAGTAATATTATTGCAGAAAAGTCACGAGTTACACTACTAGTTATATTACTTTTCTGTGTGTCTTTTCTCCCCATAATTCAGACCCATAATCCAGATTTGTTTAAGATCAAAGTAATGAGAATATTTCCAGCAGCTGAATGTAAGCGATTCCATCTTCCAAGCTAACTTCCTGCTTCATGACATGCATGATTACAAAATGAATGTGGGAATGGGATTGGATTGTTGGATTTCAAATCAGTACGGGGTGACAACAAAAGTAAGGTTGTCAATAATTATTTTCTGGGGTGTAACTTTATTTTTATTACTGAAATGTATTCGTAATTAGTTACACTAGTAGTTACTGGGGAAGTAATAGTATTACTAGTAAGGCCTTACTGCCTAACACTGATTAATTAATAGCCTAAGCTTGAAATATATCTGGATTCCTTTGTCCATTCGGATCTCACTTCACACTTCTGATAAAGATACAGACGTACAACTTCATCAAATTGACATGACGCGTGTAATGACAGCAGCCAATGAGTCACAAGAAACTGCAGCATAAGAAATCAAAGGTATGTTTGAGTTAGTTTTAAAGCAGTGACACCCTTACATAGTTTGCCCATCAGAGGGCACTGACAAGTATGTATAATCTGCTTTTCTGTGTAATGTTTGTCCACACAGACAGGACAAAGCCTTATTTTTTTTTTTACAAAAGTTGAAAATTTAAATGCAAAAATTCCCAAATTTGTTGAGCATCCCGTTGAACCCTCTGAAGAACCCCCAGTGGGGGTTGACATTTAGATTTGACCTTTGAGAAATGGAATAGCATGCTGAAATGCTTAACACTTATTCTTAACAAGGTTATCCAATCATTTTTTATTCAATTGTTTGTTTGTTCTGTGAAAAGTGCATCTCATGACATTCTTTTCAGGAAGCCAACATCAGAGGCTTCCAAGTGTTTTTGTGTCCTGAACACAAACCTGCGTGTTCCCTTTTGATGAGATTTTGTGTGATCAGATTAACTCAGTCTTGCCCATGAGACGTTTTTTATTCAATATAACTCGGTACAGAAATAGACAAATGGTGATAGATGGTGAGCTCTGTCATTCCTCAAACTTTCCTCGCTTTCGATTGGTTGTTTCTACCCACGGCAGCGTTATTGCTACTGCTCTTGTTTCAGAAAATTAAGATCACGTTTCCCATAAATTCCAGTGGCCTTTAATTCCTCTCTCCACCTGCTGTCACCAGAGGAAAAAGCTGTCCCTTAATTAACTGGAGATGGTTAGAATCAAATCATCTCTGGATCCCAGCACAAGAGATCATGTTCTGGTAGATTTGATGCTCTTTTCAGAAAATGTCTTTGCACAGCTCAAACCTCGGCTCCGCTCTGAAGTTGCAGCCATCGAGTGAGTTTTAGCAGATGTTAGGCCGGTTGATTCACTTTGCTGTGGCTACAAGTTCATTCCCTCCAAAATGTTTGTGTTAAAGATGCTGTTTAGATACATAGAGAGAGAAAGATTGTTTCCTTTAGGGAAAGGAAATAGAGCATCCTCCAGCCATCTGTCCCACAATATGCCTGGACACCATTCAGAATCACACACAAACACATTTTTCCTTGCTCGCACTCTTCCGTACAAACACACACACACATACAAGTCGCTGCGATGTCGCGGGTGCTCTCGTTTTGGCCTTGTTTGTCCGAGCAGTTCTGCCAGTGAACACAGTCTTCGAGCTGGACTCCTTCACTGCGCCATATGCTTTTCAACAGCATGGTTGCCTCTATACATCTGACTTCTCAGTGGTTATCACACCTTCTGCTTGTGGTTCCATATGTGCATGCAGGAAAGGGATTTGAGTGTATATTGCTGTTTTTAAGCATCCAATAACCAATAGCGACAGCAGTTTTTTTATTCACTGACTTATTTTTTTTAAGTCGATATTTTTGAGGGTATTTTTCCCTTTAATTAGACAGGACAGCTTGAGAGAGGAGGGGTATGACACACAGCAAAGTGCCACAGGCCAGACTCAGTTCCCATGGCCACTGCAACAAGGACTCAGCCCTGGTACATGGGGCACCAGCTCCACCAGGCAAGCCACCATGACTCAGATAAGATATCAAGAACACCACCCTTTGATATCTTCTGTAAAAAGAGCAGAGCAGAGGAAAAGGTGAACAGTGAATTAAAGTAAATACAGTGGAGGTTAGAGTTTGTCATTGGATAAAGGTGGTAGCTTCCCAAAGCCAAAGTAAAGATAGTAAAGTAAAGTTTCCCAAAAGCTGGAAAAGTGAAGAGGGATGTTGCCTTGTTGTGTTGAAGATGATGTCAGGCAGTGTCACACGTTATCGCCCCATGTTCTGGGGGTACTATCAAAAGTACTATCTGCAGTGGATAACAAAATAGACAAAAGTACCTGGTACCTGGTACCTGGGCGCCCGGTTAGCTCACCTGGTGGAGCTGGCGACCATGTACCGAGTGGCTGCAGCAGCCCAGGTTTCGAATCCGACCTGCGGCCCTTTCCTGCGTGTCACTCCCTCTCTCTACCCACCTTCACTGTCTATCTTCAGCTGTCCCTATCAATAAAGGCAATAAAAGGCCAAATACAGGCCAAAATACATTTAAAAAAAAAACCTGGTACCAAAAGCGGTTATAGCCAAGTCGAGCTGTAACATGCAGTTGAAATATGTTTTTTCTAAGCTCAGCTTCCAGTTCCACCAGTAGAAATTGACCACTGGTGCTGTGCGCTAACTTATAACATATCACCTCAAAACAGCATATCCTTATCAGTTTAATAGGAAGAGGAGCGTCTGTGAGCGTCTTTTTGATGGGATTGAAAATCCTACCTTCGGGATTTTTTAAATACCCTGATATACCGTAATACCTTGATACTGCCCAAGCCTATTGGAAACCCCTGTAGCTTTGAGTTTTAGTATCCTGTGATCCTCCTGGTTAGATATTTAAACCTAATCTGAATCAGCTCAGCATAATGGTTGTATCTGTGCCCTTTTCTTCTTCTAGCTCATCTGTCATTTTTTATTTCTGCTCAGATTTCCAAACATGAAGAACTGCATCTGACTCCTTCTACGCATTAATCAGTCCTAGCAGACTGCATTTCAGTTCTCATATTAGATGACTCATTCTTATACTTCAGAAGTTTTGGTGCAATAATGTTTTACCACCAGAGCTCACATGGCATGCCTTAAACAACAAGTTTCACCTATTTTTAACTTGTTTAGCCACAGTGTTCGAATAGTAAGTGGTGGCAAACACATTGCTAGATTACGAGATTAGTGGTGCATGATTGGTTATATGGAATGACACAACAACTGCCTGTATGCCATTGATCCACAGCTCAATAGGATCTATATCAGAGTTTTGGTACCATTTATTGTGTGTGTACTTTAGTTGGTGTGTGTGTCATCGACTGTATGTAAAGATGGACGACATGACAGCTCCCCAAAAGTTAGGCTAAAACATTTCAATCTCCCCCTGGTGGCTGGCTGCAGTATAGGTTTTAATCAGTTATTTGATTATATAGTATAGCAGCATATTTACTACTGTCAAAACAAAAACCCCACCATCAAATACTGCACTGGCCCCCTATATATTGCCTCTAACAAATCTGGCCAACATACCAGCATACATGTCATATTTAATGTCTTTTGGTTAATGTGAGTTCAGTGATAATATGTTCTCCTTGTGAGATACCATCTGGCCCCCCC